TAGTGTGTTTGCTTGTTTCATTTTTCAGTCTACTACAGACTACTTCTCCAACCTAATAAACAGTATTATACTTTGAAAACCTTTCCAGATATTCATGTGGGGTCAGAATTATTTGCGTTTGTTTAATACCCTTTTCGATATTCCCAAAAACCCGGTCTGGCGGCATGAAAGAATGTCCTCTCACTGAGGAATGTCCTCTTACTTCAATTTTCTTATTTTATTTTGTCTAGAAAACTAATACCAACACATAGATATTAGTGTTGTGTTTTTGTTTTGGCCGTCGCATTCATCACACATGAGCCTGATAGTATAAATATCGTCTCCAAAACCAGCGATTCAAGGTTGTACACTTTGATTTTAAATATTGGATAGGAGATTTTACGGTTTGAAAATTTAATGTCATTCAAGAATGTATGTTTTGAATTGAAGTTTAATTTTCTGCCTTCAAAATTCATTGGGTAATGACTATTTTGAAAAGATATTTTCTATTGTTTCGATTCAGGGCTAGAAACTCGACGTAATGCGACATCTAACCCAATTTTTGTGAAATATGGAGATTGTACACTTTAAAACTATAACCCTCATATATTTTATATATACAATATATATATATATATATATATATATATAATATATATATATATATATATATATATATATATATATATTATTTCAGTGTAGTCTTCAGTCGACTCGGGCTGATACAAATTCAAACTCGAAAAGTTCGACTAATTTCTGCAAAATACTTCACGTCAGTGGTTAGCACACAAAGGTGCCACCTGCTTTGATGACGAAGAACGAAATCGATTTAATAAATCGTCTTTTGTCCCTCTGTCATATTGTGCTATTTAAATTTTACTAAATATAAAGTTTACATAGCAATCTGTTCAAATTTTCAGCTGATTTTGTCTTATATATTTACCTTTTCTTAAAATTACTGTTTAAGGTACTTTACCAGCTGGTTCCTATGAGTATCCTTTTACATTCACGCTTCCACAAACTGGAATCCCCAGTTCTGTTACAAATACCTATGGATACATTACATACTACATTAAAGCAAACGTAGATAAAGCATTTGCTTTTGATTATATAGACACAGTGGGATTACATGTGATTGCACCAATAAACTTTAATCATATTCGACATGAGCTACAACTGGTAAGAAATATTTACAAAAGTATTTTAAATTGTATATAAATAGAATAAAGTACAACAGACCATTCAAAAAACTAGAGAGTCCAGAAATTACTTTTATTAATACTTTCAAGCTTGCTGGTTTTTTACATAAGTTCGGGTATACATGTTTATGCGAATACGTATATTCGGAAACTGTCTATTTTAAACTGGTTATACTGCAGCGAATTGGCCTATTGTACAAATTCCATTCATTCATGATACCCATTACAAAATTTTAGAACCCTGTACCAGCTTGTGCAGGTTTAGTGAATGGGTACTTACTGTATGTATGTTTTTGAAGTCACTCGGCCGTCTTCAGTCACTATTCTAACAAAGATAGCTTACGCTATCTTTGTTAGAATTATATTACATATAATAATACATAAAAATAATGTTACATATAGATATATATATATATATATATATATATATAATATATATATATATATATATATATATATATATATATATATACCCCAAGTTGTTGGAGTGGGTTTTATACCTGTTGCTTCCATTTACCAACAGCACTCACCTACAGAAGCTAAAGAGTGGTAACTTCATTATACTTTTAAATATTATTATATTTCAATCTTCATCAATTTAATAATGTTACCTAAAGTTAAAATTAAATTTAACTAATAATATAATGTTGGAAGTGCATCTTATGATCTTTTTAGTTCTATGCATATTAATATTAATGTTTTTTAATTAAGTTTTTTACATAATTTTTTATATACATGTACAATTACCACATGGTCTTTTGCTGTGCTAAGTTTGTTAATTTGTAAACTGTATCTAGTTTCAATTAATTGTTTATACAACATGATCTCATAATGTCCATTGTCGTAAGCTTCTTTACATATTTAATATCATTGACTGCTACATGTCTTTTTGAGGTAACACACTTGTAATAACTTTTCTATGGATGTTTGGTTTTTCATATTGTTCTTTTTAGATGAACTGATGATGCTTTCTGATTAGAAAGCGAAACGTCTTCAATAAATAGATGAAGTAGCTTTCCTCCACCTTTTGACCGAAAAACCCACCACTCTTTGAGCGATCCTTAATTTATGTTGGATTGACGGTCGTACTCCTTTTCTCGATATATATATATAATATATATATATATACTATATATATATATACAATATATATATACATATATATGATACATATATATATATACATATATATATATATATATATATATATACATATATATACATATATATATATATATATATATATATATATATATATATATATATATACTATATATATATTTCAAAGTACAAAATATAATAATTCAAATAATTCGACTAATAAACTATAAAAGATATTTCAAAGAAATGAAAGTCTATTATCCTGGATTACCTGTAGTAAACAAAATTTTAAAGATATGCATAAACTATTTCCTTTGTAAAATATATTCGAGTGACGTGAGTGAAATTAGTGAAACCATGAACAATGCGAGCGGGCTTTCCAAATGGACTTGTACAGTGAATAAGAAAATAGAATAAAATCTTACTTATCGTAGTTTTTATAATTTGTGATGTGTGAAAATCGATATTTAATTCTCGCAACTGTAAAGGCATATTACGCGTGCATAACGTTATGCATCTTCATCTTCATAATATGTCTGTAAAGGCATATTACCTGTACATCACTTTCACTATGGCAGTGAAAGTGTTAGAATTTCGTGTTGTATTTCCACCTTTCAAAGTCAAATTTTACAGTTCCACTTTTGGCTCATTTTATAATATCGTTTATATTATACTTATTATTGTATGTCTATATGTTTAGTTATATATTTCTAGAAATATGTAATCAATCTAAATATTTAATTCTTTTAGAATCCAGTGACATATCAAGATGAAACAACCATGTGCTGCATGTGTTCTGGGAACGGCCTTATTACAATGAACTTGTTTTTGGAAAAGGAAGCGTATGTAGCTGGTGAAATAGCAAACATTAAAGTGGCAGTGCATAATATGTCTAATCAAAATATTTCAGACGTAATTTTAACTCTAAAACGGGTAAGTTAAAGAGAAATTGTATACAGAGTGGCCAAATGAACGCAGTTCACTTGAAATATCTTTACTGGAGAAAAGATTTTTCCGGGAAACTCCATCTTAACTTGGTGTTAATTCAAGATATTTTGTATGGTACTGTGTTAACATATGTACTACTGTACTACTGTACTACCATATGTACTATGGTACTATGTTACCATACAAAATGTATGGTACATTTACAAAATTTACAAAATTTAACCCATCATCAAGTTTACATTAACAAATTACTTAACCAATAACGGTACAAGGATTCACAAATAAGCAATCTACTAACTTAATATTCACCAGGGCAGTGTTGGTCTTCTTCTTATTCAGCCTTAAGTAATCCAACTTTGGACATAGGCCTACCCCAAATCAATCCAGTGTTTTCCATTTTGCGCCACTTTCTTCCAGTTGTGTCCTCCGATCTTCTTAATGTCATCAGCCCATCTCATTTGTGGTCTTCCTCTGCTTCTCTTTCCTAACCATGGTCTCCATTGTTGTATTTCGTGGTTCCATCTTTTATCCTTTAGTCGGACATTGTGTCCTGCGAAGCTCCATTTTAATTTGGCAGCATGTTCTCCTGCGTCTTTTACTTTGGTTTTGCTTTTAATCCATTTGCTTGTTTTTTTGTCTATAAGTCTCACCCCTAGCATTGATCTTTCCATCGCTCTTTGTGCTTTTACTATTTTATCCATATTAGACTTGGTAAGTGTTCACGACTGTGAACCATACGTGAGTATAGGGAGAATACACTGATCGTAAATTCTAGTTTTCAGTTTTCAAATATTGTTCTATTTCAGTGCTTTTTAAGATCCAACTCTGTTTTCCAAATCCTGCCCACGCTAACCTTATTCTTCTGGTAATTTCGGCAGTTTGATTTTCTTTGTTAACTTTCATTATCTGTCCCAGGTAGATGTATTCGCTAATGTTCTATTTCTCTAATGTTCGGTGTATTTGTCATTATTTTTGTTTTTTCCAAGTTCATCTTAAGACCTACTTTTTTCGAAGCTTGAAATAGTTGCGTCATCATGGTCTGTAGTTCTTCGAAACTTGTAGCGAATATTACAATGTCATTAGCTTATCTCAAATGACTCAGTTTTCTTCCATTAACATTTATTCCTTTATCTACCCAGTTAATGTCTTTGAACACGTCTTCCAGTCCAAGTGTGAATAGCTTTGGTGAGATAACATCTCCCTGTCGAACTCCTCTGTTGATTGGTATCAAGATCAAATTCACATCAACAAGGATTTACAAATAAGCGATCTACTAACTTAATGTTCACCAGGGCGATGTTGGTTTAAATTTATGTGCATAGAAGCAAGGGCAGTGCCTTGAGGAAAGCTAAACACAGAGAGAGAGGGAGATAGAGATAGAGAGAAAGTACCGGATGTATGTCTTATATGTATGTGAGTAATGTGCATAGATACTGAATGTTTTGTGATTTTTTTTATATCCACAGGGACAACACAACATTAAAACATCAATAAGATGTTTGGAAAGTTGTTTTATCATTTTCACATATTTAAAGTGTTTTTATGTTAGATCCAACACAAGGAAATAGGTTGTAGGTTATTGTAAGTTATATCAAACTAAGTTTTTTTAAATACAAGACATAAATAACAGATAAAATATAAAGGCAGACACAAGTCTCTTAAGGCACTGTCCTAGCTTCTATGCACAAACATTTGATTCCTGTAACAGCACCGCCCTGGCGAACATCAAGCTAGTAAATTGTTTGTTTGTAAATTATTTTAAATTTATTTATTAACAAAGCTTAACGCGCCTGGAAGGCCTAGGGCTAAAATAAAATTAATATATGTATATATATATATATATATATATATATATATACATATATATATATACATATATATATATATATATATATATATATATATATATATATATATATATATATATATATTGTTATGGATCAGTTTATCGATCAGAAATAGAATAAAGAGTTTTTTATTATTTTAATATACCGCGGGCATATAAGTTAAAATACAACCCTGTACTTATTTGTAATAGTTAGAATAAGAGAAAACATTGTTCCGTGACGGGACCCTAACGAGTTTTTCCGTGAAAGACTGAGTGAATAGTGAAAGGACAATGGAATCAGTATAATTATAGATTTAGGAATAAACTTGTAATTGTATTTTGCGGTGGGCATTTTTCGAAAGTAAATAAGAATTAGATTTAGATAAGAGATAACAAGAATTTGGAAACTTATTTCTGTTGAAAAAGGCAAAATTGTTAATGGTTTCTGAAAAGTAATTTGAGTGAAAGTAGTTTATTTGTTTTAAATATCATGTTGGAAATTTTCTAAATCGAAAATAAGTGGGAAAGATGAATGCTTATGATTGGTTAAAAAAGAATGGTGGGAATGAGAGAGTTGAGAAGGTTGTCTGGGAGAGATTGAAAGATTATTATGTTACCGGCAGACCAGAAGAGAAGACGTGTTTTCGTGTAGTCAATCTGAGTACCAGTGTTTTCGTTTGTTAGTGAAAAAGGTGGAAGCTGAGAGCAGATCAAAATCGAGAAGATTAATACCTCTTTTGAGTCTGCATAGTCCACGAGATATAATTGAGAAAGAAAGGAGAATTTGTGAATAAATAGTACCGGTCAAAAGAGGCTTGGGCTTGTGTTTTCGGAGGAGTAGTTTGCTGGTATGCGGTTTGGATCGATGCTGAGAACGGGAAAGATTTGATGGTAGCCGGACATAATCAATCAAGGAAGGAACTGTGGTTTGATCGAGAGGAGACATCATTGGTGTAAAAATAAAGGTCAGTCAAATAATTTGAATGAAAGAAAATTTTAAGATATTCTAAAGATAAAATCAAATATAAGCATACGAACTAAGATTCCAAGTTTCAAAGAGTTATTTTTTTTTGTGAATAAATTATATTTTTATATGGTCATTTTTTTTAGTAGATATTATTATAAAACAGATCAATAGATAGTTTGTAATTAAAATTAAATTTAGAGTATAGGAGTTTGTTGGGAAAGATAATTGCCCACAGAAGTTATTTATTAATATTAATCGTATTGTTTATTGAAAATAAATAATAATTTGTGTGCATATTTATGTTGTTTTAATGTTAGTTCCGTTTCCTGTTCTATCCCGATTATGAGCAACTAGGAGATACTGAACCCACTAGAAGAGATATATAAAGTAAACTGATTAAAGTAATAATTTTTAATAAAAAGGCACCCTGAGAATTTTTAATAGTAACTGAATTATATGACTCTGCATAAATTAGTGAATTAATTAATTAAATAATTGGATTAATTAAATTAGCGTTAATTAATAATAAAACATCATAAAACAGATCCCAACAATATATATATATATATATATATATATATATATATATATATATATATATATAATATATATATGTATATATATATATATATATATATACATATATTATATATACATAACAAAACTTGTGTTCAACTGGGGTGGCTTCTTCTCCAATCACGCTCCTTGCCTACTAAATTGGCTTACTATTCTCCTCCATTTATCAGTGTTTGTTGCTCTTTCTTCACAACCAACCATAAATTCCCTCTTTTCTGATATCTTCCTGTACGCTATGAAACCATCTTTGTCTGGATGATCCTTTTCTTCTTTTCATGATTGGGTTCCCTTTTAGATTTAGCATCCTCTTTCTTTTCATTCTCGTCACGTGCAACATCCATCTCACTCCCTGTGCTTTTATGAAGCGACTGATGCTTGGTGCGTTATACAATTCCTCTAGCTCCCTGTTTGTTTGTCGCACCCAACCTTTCAACTTTTGCCTTCATATATAGCTCCGAGCATTTTCCTTTCCCATTGTTTCAATTTCTTCATATTTACTTTTTTCATTGTCCATACTTCACTACCCTACGTCACTATGGACCTTAATACTGTTTTATATTACCTTAACTTTGTTTTTCTCGATACATATTTGGATTTCATCAGTGATCTTAAGCTTCCCATCTTTTTATTTTATTTTGCCAATCTAGCATTTAGTTCTCATTCTTCCTGACCTTTCTTTTCTATAATAACCTCCAGATACGTAAAATGACCACCCTGTTGAAATTATATTCCCTTGATTCATTAGATATGAAAGTAAACTGCCCTTCTTCTTTTTGCTCTGTATTTCCGAGTATCATCTACTTTGACTTTTCCTGGTTTTATATCCTGGTGACACCTCTGTAATTTTCACATTCCAATCTATCACCTTTTTGTATATGGGGCATAATAAAGCTTTGTTCCAATCTTTGGACATATTTTTCTTTTCCCATATCCTCTTGATAATACTATAGATCCTTTTTTGCAGTTCTTCCCCTCCATTGCACCTTTATTGGTTAAGTAATTTTTTAACGTGGACTTAATGATGGGTTGAATTTCTAGAGTCCGAAACCGGTCGTCTCAGTTACAATAAAACCAATGGTGAAAAGTATTTTTCTTTTTTACCTTTTGAAAGTGGATTCACATTTGCAAACAATTTATCATAAAATTGAAATACCTTTAAAATGATGTGCCATTTGACCCCCATTTAAGATTCTTGAAGAGAGTAACGATTCATTAATTTTAGATCAAAAGATTTTCCATCAATCGATCATTAATACACGATGTATATTATATTATTTCATACTTTTTTTTCTCTTGGCTTGGACAATTGTCATTCAGCCAGTCTCAATTAACATGAGCTTTATTAAAGAATTTAAATAAGTATGTTAATTAGCAGTGGCGGCTTTTCTTTATGTGCTGCTGAGCTGCAGAACTACCAAACAACCATAGCAAATCTTAATTATTAAAGAATAATTAATATAGTTTTATTTCAAATCTGCCATATTATCATATTAAACATAAACTGTTAATAATAATTCACCAACAACGATGATTAATATTATTTTTTTTACGTATTTACTCCTCTAGTGAAACCGTATAATTTTTTTACGTATTTGGTGCTCCAGTGAAGCAATCTTTTTACGTATTTGCTGCTCCAGTGAAGCCGCGTCGATAACAACCGAAACACTGGCAGCGGTAAAATGCATTTATTAGGCAAACGGCGATCTTAGCCGATGTGCTTCGGCAATCGGCTGATTAACGGCCTCGGAAATGTGTTTGCGAGCTGCAATTCACGACAGTTATTCGTGACCGTTGCATCTGTGCCGTGTTTAGAAATTCTTAGGTTACAATTTTGTTTAATTTGTTTTGTTCGAGCGTGTTTAAAACAATGGAGTTTCAATTTAAATTAGGTGTAAATAAATTTCAAAAACTTCACTATCAACAACAGTTGATTATAAAAGAACGTGGCCGTCCTATGCCTGATCTTAATATTGAAGTGTCCGGTAAAAGCCGTGGAAAAACATATACGCGTAAATTTAATAAAGACATGTATCTACGAAATCAGTGGATTTGTGGATGTTCCGAAAAAAATGCTTTTTTCTGTTTTCCGTGTGCATTATTCGGCGCAGATAAAGAGGAAAAATTGTGGCGCGAGACAGGAGTGCGGGATCTAGTGCATTTAAGTGAAAAAATAAAGAAGCATGAAAACACGCAAACTCATATGAACAATGAAATGCGATTTGCATTATTTGGGAAACTTAATATACAGGCCCAACTTGACTCTGCTTATTGGATAAATATACAAAAACACAATGAAGAGGTGACGAAAAACAGGTATGTTTTGTCAAAAATAATTGACTGTATAAAATTCTGTGGGGCTTTTGAGCTCGCCTTACGAGGACACGATGAATCTGAAACATCAGATAACCCTGGAATTTTTCGTGGTTTAGTGAATTTTTCTGCTGAACTTGATAAAACACTTAGTGAACACCTTACAAATGCGACAATTTTCAAAGGTACCTCAAAAACAATACAAAATGATATTTTGGATTGCATGCTAGAAGTATACGCTGAGGAGATTTTAAACGAAATCAATGAAGCCCCATTTTTAGCAGTGATAGCTGATGAGACAACGGATGTTTCTATGAAATTTCAAATGGTCATTGTTTTTCGTTATGTAAAAAACGGTGCTCCAGTTGAAAGGTTTTGGACTTTTTTGCTTCCAGAAAAACATGATGCTGAAACCTTAGCTAACACAATTTTGAATGTTTTAGACCCAATATTAAAGAATAACAAAAATAAGCTCATTGCACAAAGTTATGACGGAGCAGCTGTTATGAGTGGGATACATGGCGGAGTGCAAACAATAATTAAGAGAAAATATGAAACTGCTCATTTTGTGCACTGTTACGCCCATCAATTGAATCTAATAATGTCAAGAGCATGTTCTATTAATTCCCAAGTACGCGTATTTTTTGGAGATTTACATGATATACCTGGATTTTTTAGTCATTCACCTCAAAGAATAGCTGTCTTAAATCAAATAGTTGGAAAAAATATTCCTCGTTCAATCCCTACACGCTGGAATTTCAATATTCGTACAGTAAATGTCGTTTACGAATATAGAGACTTTATTATTGAGTGTATGGAGCAACTAGAAGAAGAGTCAAATGCTATTACTTCCAAGGAAGCAAGAGGACTTAGACGTATTCTGGAAGATCAAAATTTTACTTTCTGGCTGACTGTTTTTCATTATATTATGCCACATGTTGACGTTTTGTACAATAATCTTCAAAAAAAGAACATGGACCCAACCGAAGCACAGAAAGCTATACATGTTTTTGAGCAAAGTATTAACAATGTCCGAAATAAAATAGACCCTATCATACATCAAGCTTCAAATTTAAATGCGGCGCCTAGTGTCCAAAAAAGGAAACGCCCAAATAACAGCCAACAGGATCACCGTATTGCCTGTCTAGAAGTTTGTGATGTTATTATAAACAATGCAAAAGAACGGTTTGCATATACAAATCATCTAGTTGCCGCAACACTTTTATCTTCAGAACATTTCGAAAAATATAATAATAAGTTTCCTGAAAATGAATTGGATTTAACTTGTACAGCTTATAACTTCTTTGATAAAAACCGTTTGCGAACAGAACTGTCAGTTTTGTATTCCAATATCGAGTGTAGAACATTAAAAGGTGCAGTGCCTTTACTAAAATTTATAATTTCTAATAATTTAGAGGACACATTAACAGAAACCAAAAAGTTGATACAAATTCTGGTGACTACGCCAATGACCACAGCAGAAGCTGAACGTAGTTTTTCAACTTTAAAACGGATCAAAACATTTTTAAGAAATTCAATGTGCGAAGACAGATTAACAGCCCTTTCCACACTCTCGATAGAAAAAAAGTTCATCGCTTCAATACCGAACTTTAACGATAAAGTAATCGAAAAGTTTGCGACAAAAAAGGACCGGCGTATTAATTTCCAATTTAGAAAAATGCAATAAATGTAAGTTAATCAGATTTTTATAGCATGTCGTTATTAGTTACTATTAATTAGTATTAAAGCTAATTTTATTGTTTTTGTTTTCGTATGTTATTCTATTTCTATTATTTTATATTGACCGTGGTTCATGCAGCACACCCTATAGCAGATGTCACGAGCCGCCACTGTTAATTAGTGAAACATGATTAATATAATAATATTAATTATTCTGTACTTAGCTAATATACATACTATGTTAATAAATACTATATTATACCTTTATTATAATTCAGTTATTGAAAGAAGTCATGTGAAATACATAGTATATACATCTTACAAATATATCTACCTACTATGTTAATAAATACAACTAGGGTAATTATTTTTTCACTACATTAGGATTTAAACCCGATTCAACAACTCGGAGGTTTAGATCCTCTTGGTGATTGTTTTACTATATTCTTTTTTTTTTACTAAATTTTTTTTATTTTTTTTTATTTTTTTTTATTATTTTTAAATATATTTTTACATTCCTTACTAATCTATTCTTATATATTTCAGCATATAGAATATACAACTACCTTACCAAATACTCATCACAAGCATGAAAGCGATATTATAGCTCATGCATCAGATACAGGAGTAGGTGCTCACGGCGAAAGAATGTACATGTTCAATTTTGTGATACCAGCTACCGCTGCGATATATAATTTTGCTGGATGCAGTTTATTTAAGCAATGGTTTGTTTTAAAAGTAATTAAATACGATCCTTTTTTTATACGTTTAGTTATCGTTAACTTGTAGGTTAAAGGAGTGATAAAGGGATTTCATTCAAACTTGGAAATTTCCGCTAATTTAAAACTGGGTCATATCCCGTTTCTTGGAAATCCTGTTGGTTTACCTTCTGCGCCAACTATGCCTTATTATGCACCGGGTAATGTACAACTTAACTCTTACTGTATAGATTTTTAGCTTAGGTAATTTAAAAACAAAAGTTAGACATTTGGAATTAAGAGCATTTAAAGTTGGGATTTGACACAAATGTGTAGTATGAGATATTACAAAAAGACTCTCATCTAGAGATTCATGAATTTTTAAGTGGAACTATTCTTAAATATACAATCAAAACGTCAAACTTATTGTTTTGCTAGTAACTTAAAAACTTGTCAATTTCAACTGGTTTTTAAATTGTCTTACTTTATCGTTAGTAAATGCATCTAAAAACGTTTGAAATCTAGTTAGTGCAGCCTTTAAATGCTCACGTGCATTTTTCAATCTTTTAACTCTACTTCCACTGATGTTGACATTATGATGATCGATTAATGACAATGCGTTGGATATGTGTTTGTCCCAGACAAATTAAGATGATTTTATGCAGAAGTCTAGGAATGGGAAAAATAAGGAACATACTTTGTTGCTTTCGATGACTTTCTTATTCAGGAATTATTTGTCTGGATTCAACTTTCTCTTCTCTTTAATATGCCATCCGGCTCGAAGGACCATGAAAAAAACTGTATAATGTATCATTAGTTACATTTGCTAACTTATTTAATTAAATTGTCTTTTTATCCTTTATAAAGGTCGTTCTTAATACTTTACATACATAATACAAAATATATAAATCCACAATCACACAACAATTGAGAATTTGATATCGATCCCAAGGTAAAATAACTCAAAACATGGTTATTTGCCTACAAAATCGACGACGGGTGACTCGATTATCAAATTTGGTCAGAGCACCAACTAATATACAGTAACAGATGTAGTAATCTTCTTACTATAATTTTAATTTTTTTTTCTTTTTTGAAAACGATTTTCGGAGTGAAAATCGGAACGTCAAAAGCAAATGTAAAATGTAATTTTTATTACAATCAATTGTGGCTTAATCCTGTACAAATAGGTATATTATTTATCAAATTAACTACCATCCTCCAATAAATTCGTCCTAGATTCTCAATTCAAAAATATTGACAATATCATTTTAAAGATCTCTACTTAAAATATATATTTCTAAATTGTCGTTATGAAAATGGCAGACAAAATTAAACTAGAGTCAGTTAGGGAACTGAAAACGATTTCTGACATATTGTTTGACTTTACTTTAAAATTATCTAGAAAAAGTATAAATGAAAATTTTAAGTTCTGTATATAGCTGTTACTTCTGAGCTTGGTTTGTTAGAATATACACAAAAAGACACAAACCTTTAACTTAAAGTCAGACTTATGATTTTTTAGAGTGTTTCCATTTACCACATGAATGTTTCTATTTACCCCATGAATGTTTCTATTTGCCCGTAATATTGGGGTAAATGAAAACAACCTATTATTTACAACGAATATCAGCTAAACTCACTAAGAGGTAACTGGAAACATTCTTTATACATTCTTGAGTAATGATTGATACAAAAATTTTCAATAGGTACAATTTATTTATGGTAAAATACAAAAAATGACGAAATAAATAATAAAGAGAATTATTAAATTTAAGGAATAAATGTGAATAAAAACTAAGTAGCCAACTTAAGTACATTTTAAAACTTTTAGTGATAAACATATGAACAACAACGCAACCTAGCAACAACGAACGGTACTCTGAAATATTGGGGAAAACATATCGACCACGCGTAATATTTGACGGTTCTGTTATAAAATTTTAGCTAATATTCGATCAAAATTAATCATTTACTTATATTCTACCCACGGAAATATGTAGGTGTCAGTTATTTTACTGCATATTCCAAACAATTTTGTCAATATGTTAATATCCAAGTCCACTACTTCAGCAACAATTTTTTTCTGGATTTGTTTTTTAATGCCAAGATTGTAAATAAAGTTCACAATTATAAAGACTTCAACTTTGACTTGTATTTTTTCACGCAGTTTTGCAAGTGGCGTGTTCATATCTGTTTCGTCCGAGCTCTCAAGACTTTCGACTTCGGCTTTGGTATTCTCTGGTGAAAAATGCAACTTTCTTGAATCATCATCTGTCTTTATTGGGTGTCTGAACTGACAAACTTAAAATCATCGAATTCATCATGAAGTGACATTGTGTCACTGGAATTATCATGGGAAGAACTTCTAGATTTTTCTTTAACTTATTTTCTGCAGTGTTAGTTTTGCTAGTTTTTGATTTCTGAACTGTTTTGGGTCGTTTTATTTTCCTATTCTCAGCTTCTCTGAACCTAGCAGCCACTTCTTCCGTCGTTACTACCTCTCCGTACCGCAGCCGCTTTAAACGGGGTATTGGTTTTTTTATAACTTGGATTTCACATTTCAAGGATCTTTTTTCGCGAATTGCTTCAGCAAAGATTTGAACAATTGCAGAGGTTGAACATGGAATAGAAGAATCAATAACAGTAGCTGGTAATGATGGTAACTCAAAAGGTCCAGCCTTTTCCAATTCTGATGCTGATGAACCTGAAGGGCCAAGTCCTTCCGTTTCTGGAACAAAACCAATAGATGAATTAGAATTTCAAGTTTCATGCATTTCTGGAGCAAGTTCTATTACAGAGCCAACATCACTTCTCCGTTTTCTTTTCTGATAAGCTAGAAGCGCTATTGGATCAAACAAACTTTTGGAAAACATCTTCGATTTACTGGATAAATTCCTGTGGTGATAAAACCTGCTTCAATATTTGGTTTTGTCATAGCTTCTGTTCAAACTAAGCCCAAGAGTTCAACAAAATCACGCTTTTGCAAATGCCCCGTTCCAACTCCAATATTAGACTTAAAACTCTACCAACTTTCGGTCCCATGCTTTTTTAACTGGACCAAATACACATTTGTCGAGGGGTTGAATTTTGTCTGTGAGGTGGCCAGGGAATTTGATAATTTCAATATTAGCATCCATAGCAAGTTCTATTATGCGTAGAGTCATGTGGCTACTGTGACCATTATATCGAAGTAGATCGGTTGCATTCGATAGTCCCAGATCAGAACGCTTTTTTGCGGACATGGGTATAAAACAAATTTCCATCCACCCATTTCGCGATGTTGTATCCACTGCCCTAGGGTAAGCAGCGGGTGATGTCCAACGAGCCTGGACCGTAGCTCCTTTGAATATAATCAGAGGTGGAAGTATTGTGCCATTTGCTGCTATACATGCCAACACTGTCGTGTTCTTCAAGGTATTTTCTTTTATGTCTATGCCACAGACTTTTGAGGGATCCGAACTAAATAAGATTGATCAGCATTAAATGTTAATGATGGTAGGATATTGTAAGTTGAAACTACTTCCTCTAGTTTATCAAAGAAGTCATAAACTATCTCTGGGTTTCTTGCTAACATTTTGGACTTTTGGAAATGTTCAGCCTTCTTTAAGGTTAGCCTAGGATGGCGGGACATAAACCCAATCGTCTCCAGGTTTTCCATCCTTATAGCTCGTTTTTATTTGATATTGTAACATGTAGCTCTTTGAAGCAATTCATCCTTTAAACAAGGATAGCCCATTTTCGATCGTTCCATGAGACATTAAGCAATATCATGTTCCACTTCAGGTGTCAGAATAGCATTTCTTCCACCACCTAGTTTTCCTTCGGCAAATTTAACGACCTTTTATTCTATTGAATATGTTAGAAATTGGTATTCCGTAAAGAGCAGAAGCTTGTCGATATGTTTAATTATTGGTTGAAACGTCAGCAACTGCTTTTTGTAAATCTTCTGCTGAATATGGTCGCGCCGGTCACTTCTTAATAGTGGCATCTGAAAGATTTTACATATACAAAAAATTGTTTGGGTCAAAAGGAAACATGTTTTTTTTTACCTCAACCATGTGTTTCCATTTAGCCCGAACGTATTATTTGGATGGGGAAAATGGAAACACTTTCTTGTTTATACCTGAACAATATTATGAACCTAACCTTAAAAACAACATGTAAACAGACCATTTGTTTCCTCCTCCTCCTCAGTCCTAATACCGTTTGGGATGTGGTGACACCATCAGGCCTTTACAGTTTTTTTACGATTTCCCTCCATTCTTCTCTGTCCTGGGCTAGTTGTTCGGCTTCATGTAACCATTGGTTAATCAATATTTTTGTTTGATCTACCTAACGGCTTGAAAATCTTCCCCTAGGTATCTTTCCTTCAACTCTACCCTCGACTATCGTTTTCTATCGTACCTGTTCTTCTAGCAATGTGTCCAAAATACTGCAAATATCTTTGTTGTATTTGTTTAAGCAATCTATCCTTTACTTTAAATTGTTCTAATATCGATACGTTAGTGCGATGATCAATCCAGGATATTCTTAACATGCGGCGGTATACCCACATTTCAAAAGAGTCCAGTTTATTTTTATCCGCTTTCTTGAAGATCCACGTTTCGGATGCATATGTGGCTATGGGAAAAATGAGCGCCTTTACCAGCCTTAGTTTTGGTGTATTGTTATGCTAGAATTTTTCCAAATTGCTACCAGTTTCATCATAGCTGTTCTAGCAATAGACGACCTTTTACGTATCTCTCTGTCACACCCTCCGTCATTTGTTATTAGGGACCTCAGGTATGTGAAACTATTTACTACTTCAAAGCCCCCAATTTCTTTAATATGTTGAAGATTATTCCAAGCTCTGTGCTACTATCATGATCTTTGTCTTACTCCTATTTAGCTTTAGTCCATATGTTTTGCTTTTTTCCTCCAGACATCTCATTATGTCTTCCATTTCTTCTTGATTTGCCGCGATTATTAAAGTGTCATCAGCATATCTCAAGTTATTGACTTTTTGACCTCCTACTGATATTTCGCCCTTCCATCCGTATAGTACCTTTCGCATAATGTGTTCGCTGTAGATATTAAAACAGAGTTGGCGAGATTATGCATCCCTGCCTGACACCTGCCTCTGTTCTGAAATGATCGGAATGGGTGTTGTTTATTTTTACTGTGCACTTATTATTTTCATATAGACTATCTAATTAGTTGAATTAAGTTTGTTTCTCCTACCTTAGCGTTTAAATCACCCATGATTATGAGTGGTTCTTTAGATGGAATATTTCTTATTGTGTCTTCAATAACGGAGTATACGTCTTCTACTTCATTGTCTAACGCGTCTGAGGTTGGTATATAGACCTGAAGAATGTGCATTTTGTTTGGTGATGCTAGTAAAGTTATTCTTATGTCCATCATTTATCGTTTGGTAACCATACACGTATTGTGAAACTTTTTTAGTCACCATAATTACAACACCATTTCTTCCTGTGTTATTTGCTCCCGATATGTATACAACATGATCTGTCGTTCGGAAGTGTCCTTGTCCTTTCCAATGGGTCTCCGAAAGTCCGCATATTTCTATATCCTCTCTTTCGACTTCTCCTTGTAGTATATGCAGTTTGCCTGGTTGTAATAATCTTCGAACATTCCAGGTTGCTATTCCCATTGCTTTTCTTAACTGAAAATCTGATTTTATTCCAGGCGCCAATTTCGTATGTTGCTGGTTGATCAAAAACACATGCCCGGTAGCCCATTTGACAACAGTTGGTCCGGAACCAACTGAGCGCCGATCGTAAGCTATCTAATGATTCGTACATTCATGGTGTATCACGGAATATAATCAGGTGGTTTCCCTTGCCTGTCTGATCGCAGTACACCAAGCCAACAGTACAATACCATTTGTTTACCATGGTACATATTAAGACTAACAATATAAACATAATTAAATAATGAAAAAGAGGTTCTTTGATTCGTTTGCTTGGTTTGCTCATCAAATTATATTGTAGTAAATAATTCAAATTAGCTTACCTTTGCAATAAACGTTCACTGCCATGAAATATAGAATGTTAGGAGCAGTGTTGCCGCTACAACTAACAGACATACAGCATATTAATAAGCGAGATATTTGCATAGAGTTTTTGAGCTGTTTTCATTTACTTCTAGTTTCGATTTCTTCTGATTCATCCTATTAGAAGAAGGAACATTTTTTATTTCAAAATAAGCAATTTGCATTTGCTTCTCAATTGATAAGGAAATCGAAACGTCAAATACAATATATTTACAATTAAAATTATGGTTTATTTCCAATAAATAAAATAGATAACATGGCAAGTAATACTTCATTTTAAGTTATTTTTAACGACATCTACACATCTAACGGTTTCAAATTAAAAACCTTAAAATATTCGTGGTGTACAGTAAAATAATGATTAAAAATGGTGATCAGAAATTTTTAACCATATGTGTCGCTGAAAAAAATTTTCGCTAAAAAAACAAAGGACCTTTAAAATTATGTAGTATTGTCTTATGATCCCATATAAAATTATTTTAGAAAATGGCGTCCATCTACGTGTAAAAAATATAGAAACGTCAAGAAACTAGGAGCAGGTGAGTTCAGTTGCTCAGACTGATAACTATGTAGGTGTCGTTGAAAATAACTTAAACGAACTTTATTATGAACTATTTTTTTCCATATTATCCCATTTAAAATTATCTTACAACATATCACTCGTCAGTAATTTTTTATTTTTGCATAATGAAAACGTTTTAAAAATTGTAATAATTGGTTTAGTTATAACCAATTATTACTTATTAAGTTTTATAGTTCAGAAATTATAATGAAGGCGAGTATTTTTAAATTTTAAATCAATAACAGCAAAAATAAAATGGTTTTAATTATAGGTGCACTTTCACCAATCCCGCTATCTAACACCACATCTAATTCTCACCTTCCGTCAGAAAATCCAAGAGCTCCACTATATTCTACAGGACCTTCATCAACCAATAATTTTAATGGCAGTCTGTATGCAGAAAACGGTAAGACTAATGATATTTATTTGTTAACTTATATTAAATAGTATTACACATTTTTCTGTAGGTTAAGAGATAAAATGAAGCAAACGTGCTTTAACTTTATTTTAACTCACTAAATTACATATATCATAAATTCTAATTATAGTAATAATAATTATCGCTTAATGCGATATGTAATATATTTATACGTATATAGCTTACAAAACAATTCGCCGATATTAATAAATCAAATGTCGCCATAACGGGCTTATATAATATATGTCCAGTGGAAGTACAGAAGCCGACCCCGTGAGATAACACGAAATTCCATAAAGTTAGCGTGATGAAAACATCGATAGAAACGGTGCGAGGAAGATTTGGGAAAAAAGAGTATTCTCGGCTTCACCAAATCACAGCCCGCAATCATGGGCTCTTCAACATCGGCTCTTCTTTCATGCTGGATTATCTTCTTAGTGGCCAGGTACGGTCCTTCTCAGGGCCTGTGCAACTTGAGACTCAGACCTTTCCTTCTCATTGGTTGGCAGAGTCAGACTGCATCACCTTTCTTAAAGCTAAGGAGAGTGGATTCATGATCAAACCTAGCTTTGATCCCGTCACTGGTGAGTTGTAGCTTATTCCTGGCGAAATCGTAGGCCATAATCCTTTAGATCGCTAACATACTCGGGGAGTGTCTCTAAGGATTGTAGGAGGTCGACGGGAAGCTTTATCTCTCAACCAGTCAATAGCATTGCTGCAATATAACCACAGTATTTAGCGTTAACGTATTTAACGTACGGCAGATTGTAGAAAAATCCAGAGAATTCAACATCACAACATATTTGTGCTTCATAGATTATAGTAAAGCTTTCGATTTGGTCAACTGGAGTAAAATGTGGCAGGTTTTGTCTGAAATGGGAGTCCCTAATCATCTGATACTGCTAATTAAAAGCCTGTACAATAACAATTATGCCAGAGTTAGAATAAATGGGGAACTAACTGACAGTTTCAGGGTCACAAAGGGCGTGAGACAAGGCTGCATACTAAGCCCAATTTTATTTAACATCTATGGTGAATGGATAATGCGGAAAGCTACTGAGGACTGGAATGGTGGCATCACCATTGGCGGGAAGAAGATTTGCAACTTGAGATATGCAGATGATACTACTATCCTCGCTAGTTCTGAAACTGAATTGATTCACCTGCTACAACGGATAGAAGACGTAACCTTATCGATGGGCCTTAAAATAAACAGGGATAAAACGAGAATCATGATAATTGACAGAGCTAACAACAATCAAAATCATCTGGTTAGGATAAACAATATCGCTGTTGTAGATAAATTTGTGTATCTGGGCTCATTAATAACCAACAAAGGAGGCTGTACTGAAGAAATAAAGCGGCGGTCAGCAATCGCAAAAAGCGCTATGGCAAAATTAACAAAAATTTGGAAAAGCCATGAAATTACTACCGATACAAAAATGAGACTAGTAAGAAGTCTAGTTTTTCCAGTTTTTACTTATGCATCGGAATGCTGGACCCTTACTGAGAAAGACAAAAAGAACATAGATGTATTTGAGATGTACTGCTGGAGACGAATGCTGAGAATACCATGGGTGGCCCGAAGAACAAATGAATCCATACTGGTCCAGCTAAACATAAAGAAAAGACTAAGAACACAAATAACAGAACAGATAATAAGCTATTTTGGACATGTGCTTCGAAGAAATGGTCTTGAAAAACTTACCATCCAGGGAAAAGTAGAAGGCAAAAGAAGTAGAGGTAGATCTCCTACACGATACACGGACCATATTGTTGCTACCATTGGCGCTCCATTGTCAGAATGTGCTAGATTGGCAGAAGATAGAAAAACGTGGAGGAACATTGGAAAAATTACCTAACAGCTTCATGATATCACGATACCTGCATCAGGTTAACGACTAAGAAAAAAAAAAAAAATTTAGCGTTAAACTGTAGTATAACTAAATAGTTGCCTCATGTTGGGAGCTTCGGTAGGATAGCAGAAACATAGATACCAGTTTATCCCAGTCTCTCTGGTTTTCATGTACAAACTGGGACAGATAGTTGTTGATAGTCGGATTATGTCTTTCTATCATGCCGTGGCACTGACGATGAAACGGTGTCGTTCTGGTCTTCTTAATTCCCAACAAAACCATCAAGGCCTCCCAAACTTATGATTCGATGTTACGCTCCTGGTCGGAATGAAGCAGAAGTGGATCTCTATGTCGAAAAACGGCATTCAAAATGTCCCCGGAGTGGCTATCAAAGAACTCTTTTAGCACGTTCTTTACACATATCGTTGGGAGAATACTTTGTGGTACTGTTCTTGTTCCATCTGGACTCTCCCATTTGCGAGTGCTGGCGTCATCTAGCAGATACAAGGAGTCCCACTGAAGCCAATTGCCCTTCACTGCTTACCCATATTTGGAAATCTCCTGCCACTATGACCTAGTTCCACTGTGTAGTCACTCACGGACTATTGTTAGATCTGGATCTGGCCTGTAAGTTTTCTTTTGTCAAGCTTCATACTGCAAGGCTGCGACAATAGCATTCTTCAATATTTATTAGCATAATCTTCCTAGTCGTAATGTCTGCTGGAGGTCTACATCAAGCAGGCGATCGAGGAAGCATTGGATAGTGATTTGGTGCAGAAACTCTTCCGGTGCTTCAGGCCAAGAGAGTCTATTCTCTTTTCTACTTCCGCTCCGTATCCTTGCACAGATTTTAGATATTTTCAGATAATTTCAGTTGACTTTAATATACTTGATTTAAATATTAGCTCCCATATTTTAGTTTTAGAGTCGTTTTGATGGTTTCATAACTCTTTTGTGCATGGTGTTTTGGAAGATTTAGATAGCTTTACCTCAAAGTGCTAATCTGAGAGCCGCTGCATTCTATTCATTTGCTCACCTTGTGCATGGTGCAAAGGCTTCGAATTGTCTTCTATACACTGGCCAGGAGGTCTCGCCGTCAAATATAGAAGGCTTAATTATTTTGTTATTAGGAGAACAAATCACTTCTGGTTTACCTTGAAATCTCAGTGGCTTGGTCTTCTACATTTCTAGGCGGATATTTTCATAGTTCTCGTTACCTCATCATGTCTTTTTTGTCTCTTTGAATTCTCTTTTCATATTTTCTTTCGTTTCTTCGATTTCTCTTTTCGCACTTTCTTTTGTCTCTTCAATTTATTTTTTCATGTCTACTTTACTCATTTTTTATATTCATGAGTAACTCTCTATTATCCTGATTCTCTACAGCTTGTGGTCGACCTTTTTCTTTTTCTTCGTATCGTTTTTCGTCAGCCTGTTTTTGTTGACGACGTCTCTATTCCGCTTTCTTTTCTTTATGACGACATCTCTGTTCTTGTCGACGTTTTTCTTTTTCTTCTTGCCGGTTTTCTAAACTCCAAAAGCTCACTAAATTATAAACAGGTTTCATAAATTATAATTACATTAATAATTATCGCTTATAATTCACATGGATATAGCTTACAAAACAATTCGCTGATACTGATCAAATTAAAGTTCGCCTCGGTGGGGTTATATAATAAGAACATCTGTTCTAGAGATAACCTGCGGAAGGGCAGCGGCTGAACCCTTGCAATAACATATCGATAAAACATCGATAGAAGTTGTACGTGGAACATTTGGGTGAAAAGAGTATTCTCAGCTTCGCCAAAGCACACAACCGCATTTAGAAGTCACACAACAATAGAAACACTGTAAATTCTTTAAATAATGTCAGTCCTTTAAACATAGCTATAAGGCAAGAATTAACTCTAATATCATCATTTTAATTATAGGTAAAACCTCAGAAGATTCACCGCCTTCTTATGAAGAAAGTATAAAACCATCAGCACCAAGTTAGTTGTAAGAAACATTAGAAATAAAAAAATGTTAGTATAAAATGATTTTTTGTTTCCTTATTGATAGAAAATAATCTACAGAATCAGTTATATCACATAAGTGATAGGTAGATATAATTATCTGGTTCCTTCCCTTCTTCTTCTTACGGTGCCTTATCCTTAAGGACGTTGGCCATTACATTTGCCCATTTAATCTTATTTATATGGAGGTTATATGCCCTGAATAGTTATATGGAGGTCATGTTCGTCCATTGTCGTAGGTTTTTAAGCCAAGAGTTGCGTCTTCTTCCTGGTCCTCTTTTGCTATTGACAGTTCATACTTTTGATTTCTTATGATGTGACCAAAATATTGTGTTTTCCGTTCTTTTATTATAAGCATAAGCTCTCTTTCCTTATTCATCCTCCGCAAGACTTCCGCATTTGTCGTATGGCTCATGTAGGATATTCTGAGCATTTTACGGTAACACCAGAGTTCGAATGCTTGGATTCTTTTTTGTGTTGCTTCTGTCATTGTCCAGGCTTCAACACCATAGAGCAAGGTGGAGAAAACATAGCACTTAAGTATTCTAGTTCTCAATGAGATGCCCAGCTGGCGGTTGCATAGAACTTTTTGCATTTTGTAAAACATTGTACGTGCCTTTTCCAGGCGTATTCTTATCTCTAGTGAGTGGTCCCAAGTTTCATCAAGATTACTTCCAAGGTACGTTGTTCTTGTTACTCTTTCCAGATCTGTTCCGTCGACATTGACCTTCACCCTTCTGTTTTGGTGCTTGCTGATGACCATCGTTTTTGTCTTCTTTGTATTCAATTTCATTCCAAATTCTCTACAGGCTGTCGTTACTCGGTCCATTAAGCGTTGCAGGGCTTCAGCATTATTTGCCAGTATGACAGTGTCATCAGCATATCGCAGGTTATTTATACATTGCCCGTTTATAATTATACCATCCGAGGTGCCTTCCAAAGCTTTCTGAAATATCTTCTCAGAGTAAACATTGAACAGCAAAGGTGATAGGACACATCCCTGTCTTACTCCCTTCTCGATATTGATTTTTCCAGATGTTTCGCTTTTTATTCTGATTTTAGCCTTTTGTTCTTGGTAGAGGTTTGAAATGATCCTTAAGTCTTTATCGTCGATATTACATGACCTTAAAATATCTATTAGTTTATCATGTTTCACCAGGTCAAACGCCTTCTGAAAGTCTATAAAACACAAGTATACATCAGAATCGACATCTCTACATCTTTCAACTAGCACACGTATTGAAAAAAGTGCTTCTCTTGTTCCGAACCCATTCTTAAAACCAAACTGAGTTTGGCCAGTGTGTTCGTCTAGTTTATTGTATACTCTATTGTGTATTACTCGTAGGAAAAGTTTCAATATATGATTCATCAGGCTAATAATCCTATGGTCTTCACATTTCTTGGAGTTTTTCTTCTTTGGTAGTGGTATAAACACCGATGTCAGTCAATCATTTGGTATTACGCCTGTTTCGTATATTTTGTTAAATTTTGTTAAATATATCTTCCATTCCTTCCCTGCTTATATGAAATCATTGCCTTATTATCTATTTCTTAGTATCTTGAAACCCTCGAAATATTTTTCATAGAGAGCTAGGCTTTGAGATATCGTATTCACATATTTCACCTATTTTTCTCCTTTTTCCCTGTCTACGCCTATGGTTACCATGAAACGACCCTCACGTTTTGTCACAAGATACTTTTTCGATTGAAGATACAATAGTGCATGCACCTCGCGGCTACACACCTTACCGATTCTCTTTCTATTTACAAATCCTTACTCCAGCATCCAGAGTAACAAGTAGGGAGAAATCAAATGAACCACAGGAAGAAGAAAACAGTTTGGTTAATGTCAGTGCCCAGCCCTACCAACTATCCATCATACCTACACAATATAAAACATTTGGTTACGCTAATCCTTAGTTTAAATTTTATGTAGGTGATAGGCCTGCAAATATTGTAACGAGAACTACTAGTAATATCAATATTGGTAATGGGTCATATTCCATTCGTCAAATCGCCGAGGAAACAAGCTAACTCCAGTAGTTTAAGACGTGTTAAAAAACAGAGATATTGGCGTTATCGTGTTTAAACCCCTTTGCAAAAAAAAATTACTTGTGTTTTGTGAAAACGCAAGAAAGAAAATGATCAGTATCCAAATATTTCTTTTAAACATTTTATCTAAAGACAAACTTTTTTCCTAATGCTAAGCAGAATGTTTTTCCTCAATTAAAATTGCAAAATTTTATTTTCGGTACGCCTATGATAAAGAGTATTTCATTTATGTCCATCCTCAAGGTTATTAACATTGGTCAATGGTCAATTATTTACATTTTAAAATATCAAAATTAAGTCCAGTTATTTTTAATCCCTATATGATACCTATACATTTTAGTGTTATCCATAATTCATTAGTGTACATAGACACTGTTAGCAACTATTAAAAAAACAAGGTGTTGTCACTTTAAGATTTTTTTCATTTGGAGTAAGTATCATAATATAATCTTAATTTGTATGTTCTGAATGAATCATTTAATATGTAACATTCCATTCATTTTATACTGAGATGTACTACATTGTTTACATTTAGATTTACTGTATAAAGTGTCATTATCCTACTGAAACTTAATTCATTATTTTCAATTTTGAGGTTAGATCATCCCTTATCTCAAAATCTTGTTATTATATCAGATATTTTGTTTCCAAAATATAAATAGTTTTGTATTTAATATTTATTTCATGTGATAAAAATTCACTAAAGTAAAACCTGTATTTATCAGTATTATCTTTATGGTTATTATAGGAAAGTCCCTTTATACAAAATCAAAATATCATTGGCGGAGTATTGCAAAAATTAATATTTGCCATATTTGGATATTCTTTTGGAGAATTAAACTATAACAACTATTGTTCTGAAGCTATTTTCTTGTGGCATTGTAAATTAATTACTAATAAACTGGGAATAAGCCACAATTAAAGATAAAAATACGTTTATTGACGTTTCAATTTCCACTTCGGAAATCGTTCTCAAAATACAAACAGTAAATTAAACAAATTTTGTTTTTTGTTACATAGTGAAAAATTCTTCTAATAATTTAATTTTATCTGACTCATTTATATTGACAATTCAGACATACATTATGCATTTTAAAGTAGACGACTTTAAAATGATATTGCCAATATTGTTGAGTTGCGCTCCTGGGACGACTTTACTCATAAGATAGTTCATTCGATTACATGAAATCAACTTTAACTTGAGAATATCCGTCAGAAAAAATCATAGCATGTAATTCGTCTTTAAAAAGACAAACACATGACATGATAACAGTAAAATTCTCCTGTTAGTGATTCCATAGTAAATTATGAGGGAAAAACAGGAATGTTTTAACAAATTATCAGAGAGGATTAATTACACCTCATTACAGTAAGACTCCTCATTTTTATGGAGTACCGAAAATTCATAAAACGAATATACCACTTAGACCCATTTGTAGTACCATGAATTCTCCTTGTAGTGAACTATCAAAATTTTTATTAAATATTTTAAAACCATTTACAAATAAAAATGACACATTCATAAAAAATACACAACATTTTTTAAATAAATTAGCAAATATTGAATTTAATTCAAATCATACTTTGGTAAGTTTTGACATAAATAGTTTATTTACGAATGTGCCATTAAATAAGACTTTAAATATAGTCAAGACAAAATTAGAGAGTGATGATTCATTGGCAACTAGAACAAAACTAAACATATCGGCTATAATGGAGTTATTAACATTATGTACTGATAATACATATTTTCAACTAAATAATGAATTCTATAAACAAAATTTTGGTCTAGCAATGGGCTCTAGTTTATCTCCATTCTTAGCCGATATATTTATGGAAGATTTTGAAACAAATATCATTTCTAAACAAAATTTCAAACCCACAGTATGGTGGAGGTATGTAGATGATGTATTCTCAATATGGCCTCATGGATCAGAGTTGTTGGATACATTCCTAAATGATATAAACGATAAAGAAGAGACAATAACATTTACCATGGAAAAGGAATATAATAACATGCTACCTTTCCTGGATGTTTTAATCTCTAAGAACGATACTGGATATGAGACTCAGGTGTATAGAAAACCAACACACACCAATAGATATTTAAATTTCAAATCAAATCACAATATTAATGTAAAAAAGGGAATAATTAAATCCTTATACGATAGAGCCAAAATTACTTGTTCTAATGAAAATTCGTTCTTGGAGGAGAAACATTTGTTAACATCTGTTTTATTAAAAAATGATTATCCTTTATCGTTTATAAATAAGGAATTTTCAACAATCGATCGAATAGAACAGAACAACTTAGAACGAGATCCTACAGCATACACAAGGAATAATATGAGGAAAATAACAATACCGTACATAAAAGGACTATCAGAAAAACTTAAAAGGATAGGAAATAAATTCAACATTTCAACAACATTCAAAACAACAAACACGTTGAGATCTATTTTGTCCAAAACCAAACCTAACAATGAACAAGAAAGGACAAAGAATTGCATTTATAAAATACCTTGTGAATGCGATCAGTTTTATTTAGGTGAATCATCAAGGCCATTAAATGTTAGAATAAGTGAACATCAATCTTATATTAAAAATAAAGAATTTGATAGATCTCAAATCTGTAAACATGCATGGGATAATGAACATAGGGTTCAATGGAGTAATTCAAATGTAGTCCTAAAAGAAACGGATGGTAAAAAAAGAAAAATCAAAGAAGCGGCTCTAATTATGTTAAATGAGGCCAATTGTGTCGCAAATTCTTCGGCAGAATGTAGTAGGATCTGGTTACCAATATTGAAAGAGGAAGTTATTAATAAGAAAATACCAGCATTAGTAAGTCAGTAACATATAGAGGATACTTCATTTATGTTTTTTAAATAACGTAACATATAAAATCAGAATTTTGATGTTTGTTGAA